CAGGGTAAGGGGGACGTGAGCGGTGGTAGGGTGTGTTATCGGAGTGGGCGGCGAAGAGGCATGGGCGAAAGTGGCGGAGGTGGATTCGCAGCTTCCGCAGTCGCTGCTGGGAAAGGCGGCGCCTGCGCCCCTGTCCCCATCCCCATCCGCTCCCTCACGCCCATCTCACTCCGTCAGCACAAGCCATGGTATGCCATCGCTGCCCCTCTCCTCCCCAGCCCCCGCCTACCCCAGCTTCGTACCCCCAGCCACACCATGCCGGTAGGGCCTTCCGCACCCCGGGGCCACGCCATTCCCCCCTTCATCCCCACTCCCCCGGCTGCCCCCATGCCCGCTCCCTGTGCGGCCACTGCTCCCACGCCTCTCCACACACGGCGCGTTACAAGGCCGGCCAGTGGCAGCAACAGTCTCAGGTGCGGTGAAGAGAATATGCTTGTCAATACCACAGCAGCCGCAGCAGCCGCGGCGGGTGCTTGTGGAGGCAAGCATACCACTCTCCCACCACCGGCCCTCCTTCTCTTTCCCCTTCCCCGTCGCCCGTCAAACCCCTTCCCCCACCCTTCCCCCACCACCACCCCCCTGGTCCCTCCTGCGCGTTCCCCATCTCCCCGCCGCCACGCCTCTCCCAGCCGACATGCCCCTCCCCGCCGATTCCTCCTCAGAAAGGATCCATTCTGTCCCACCCCTGTTGGTTCTACTGCCCGCTCGTTGCAAACCCCACCTCACCTACTTGCATTGATGTAAAGGTGTGATGGAGTGTCAATATCTAGTTCACAATAAGTTAACTGTTGTTTCTATAAGTCCCATCTCCCTTTGCCTTTCTACTTTTCTTTTTCTCTCCCCTCCTTTCTCTTGCACACAATACCCTTTACAGAAACTGTTTTTCTTCTACCACCGTTGTTTCCCGGGACCTTCCGGCCGCTCTGCTCACTTCATTGTACTCCAGCCCACTCTCCATCCTGGTCATCTTCGACCTGCTAGAGAAGGAGCGCCTCAAGGCCGGGCTGCGGCGTTCTCAGCGCCATGGCTGTAGCCTCCTCCACTCGCTCCTCCATCCTGCGGCAACTTGCCGGAGCGAAGGGGAAGGCGAGGGGGCATGGGAGACGGCGGCGGTGGCGGCGGCACCGCGGTGGCTGATGGACGAGCTGGCAGTGCAGGGCGTGGACAGCGGAGAGAGAGGGGAGGGAGGGAAGGGGAGTGGGGGAGGAGATGAGGGGGAGGAGATGAGGGGGAGGGAGAAGGGGAGAGCGCAAGGGAGAAGGTGCGCAGGAGCGGGGCGTGCTAGTGAGTGGGCTGGAGAGGCAGTATATCTCCCTCGTCTCGCCATTCAACTGCTCGCCTCCATACCTCTCTGAGAGTCGCTCAGCGCCGAGAGCCTACGTCGTTTGGCCTCTGCCTCACTTCTAATTCATACGCATGTCATTTCATCGAGTGAAGCTCACAGCACAGCTAGTACTGCGCATTTCAGATCGTGACATGGCATTCGGATCTGATTGCGGAGCTCAGATTCAAGCGTCTACGCCTATGCGTCATAGCCTCACAAGGTTTCAATATGCGAAACCTAGAAATAGGCCTGATGTAAGGCCGGTTCTGTCATTCCATTCTATCCGGCTTGCATATCGGAGATTCTCACTTTCCTCCTTTCGCCGATGCTTTTGCGTCAGTTGATGCTGCCTACCCTCTGTTTATCTCATCCGCGTATCATCACACATCACCATCTGGCAGTCACGATTGCCACATCAGCAGCAGTGTGTGTACAGCGTGCGCGCCAAGGCGCACCACTTCGACGTCGCGTGCGTGTACCTGCCATTCTGCTGTTCCAGCGCCGTCACCTCAGGCGTGTGGCGGCAAGGAAGGTTACGGTGTCGTCGGTGCCATCACTGTAGCCTGCTCCCCGCCCCCACTGCCCTCATCTCACCTTCTTCTCCTTCCGTCCCACCGTCCTTGCCCTTCGTCCCCGCTTCTCCCCCTCTCGCTTCCCCGTGTCGCTCATCCTGTTCCTTGCTCTCCTTCCTTGTCGCCGTCCGCCCAAGTGAGCCCCGCAGCATCCGTGCTCGCCGTCTGCTCCTTTGTGGGACCACTTCACCTGGGTGCCGCAAGCGACGGGGCCAGACAGGCAGTGGGTGCAGTGGAGCAGCAGCGCGAAGGAGGGGCAGGCAGAGGGAGGAGTGAGAGGCAGCGAGCGTGGGATGGAGTAGCAGGGGGGGAGGGGGCGCGGGCTGGTGAGAAAGGGGAGGAGGAAGGGGGAGTCAAGAGCTGCAGGTGGGGACGCGTATACGGGCGTCCGTGGTGGCGCAGATGGTTGGGGGGGGGTGTGTCCAGCACGGTGCCCGCCCTCTCCTGCTCCTTGGGAATGTTTCACTCCCTCCCCTCTCATCCTCATGGGCGCGGATCATAGCTCACACTCACCTCCTCCTCCCTGCGCTTCCCCCAGCGCCTGCAGCATGGCAGCATGGCAATGGCGTTGGCAGTGGCATGGTGGGCAGCAGCGTGGAGTGCAGTCACAGCATCAGCGTGGTGATGGGACGGCGTGGCCTTAACCAGCAGCAGCTAGCAGGCGGCGCGGTGCTGCAGAGATAGGGCAGCGTGGCACTTAACGACAGGGCAGCAAGGCGGAATGGGGCAGGGCCGGCATGGGGGCTTTCAGGAAGCTTATTGTTTAAAAACACTCATGGCTTACCCTATCCTACCCTCGTGCCTTCTTACCTATCAGCACCTCACTCGTGCATTTCCATCATGCCGTGCCCATCACTTCATCCCATGGCACACGTACATCAACCGATCTTCTTATACATCCATCTCTGACCCTTCCGACCCCTCCCTTCCCCTGCCACCCCCCTTTCTCCCCTCAGCAGCTCCTAGCAGTGGAATAGCCATGCGCCAAACATCAGCCTCCATGGTATGGCTTCCCTCAGTTGCCCTCTCCACCAGCCTCACCTCCCTCCACGCCATGCCACCTGATTGAGGGCATGGCGCTGCCACAAGCAGCTTCTAGCACAACAGCAATGGCCACGTGAGATGGTAAATAGGAATCCACAATCGGTAAGGTCCACAGCTTATGGCGATCCATGATACATGAACTGCCGTGCTTGTGCGACCTATCAGAAGTGATGCCACAGATGTGCACGCGCATCTCCTTCCAAGCTCATCCAATGGTGGGTAACCCTACTTCTCTGTTCTTTCCAATTTGCTTCTGCTTTGGCGATCATCAGTGCGGTGCCGCTCTCATGCCTGCACTCTCGCTCATTCCTATATTATGTTTTGAGCTTAAAAACCCGGGGTCAGCATGGTATGGGAAGGGTGATGCTCGGAGGGCATGTGCTGGAATGCTGGAAGTCTGAAGGTTGGACTGGTTGTTCTCTGCACATCCCGTTCACCTCCTTCCTGCAAGTTGTCTTGACTCCCCCCCCCCCCCCCCCCCCTCTCTGCAACATTTCCAAGATGTGTTTGCAGCCCCTGTCACCCTGCATCTCTTATTGCCCAATCCCATCTATCCTTGCATCACCTCCTTCCTTGTGGCAGCATGATGCATCAATAGGCCTGCTGTGGCCTATGTCTTATCCTGGTATGATCCAGGGGCATACGTTATTGCATACCTCACTTAATACTAAGCATCCTACTACTCTGCCATTCCCAGATCGCTTCTGTTTTTGCATATCGCCAGTGCTCTGCACTGCCATACCTGCCCTTCACTTGTGCTCCCATCCCAGAAAAATCATCTTGAGTTCTGAGGGACACAATTAGGTTGCCATGTAGATGACTGTGTGGGTGAAGTGTGGGGCTGGAATTTGGGGGTGTACTTGCACAACCTATGGTATGCGTTGTGCTATAATAATTTTGCACAATTCACAACCAGCCATTCCAGATATAATGTTCTTTCATTGATGTGGTAGTAATCGCCAGAGGGGTTCTAAATGATGCTACAAGTCACATATTCCCTTACTATGTTAGGTTGTATACATGAAAAGCCTTGCCAAGGCAAGGCTTGCATGCTCATGTACATCCATCCCATGCAACCACACCCTGTGTACCATGCCAATCGGTCAAATCCGCCAGTCACAGTCCACTACGGCATGGGCGGGTAATGCAGCAGCATGCTAACCAGCCTAGCCAACACAATGCACTTGAACAGACCATACACCCTAGTGCATGCCCCCACCATGGTCTAACATGCATACACACCCCTGCTATTTATATACAAATCGCACGTAAGCCAGTCTAGGTTGTACACAGAAAAGGCTTTGCCAAGTCAACTTGCACACTCCTCCACACCCCTTTCCCTCCGCACCTCCCCTCACTATTGTCCAAGCAGTCAACTCAGCCCCTCCCTCCATCACCCTGTCATCCTACCTGCCTATCCACCTGCACACGTCCTCATTGGAAACCAGATTTCCATTTGGCAACCGGAGAGATGCCAGCTTGGTCAGGGCAGTCAGCTGCTGCAGTCCATCATCCGTGACTGCCGTGCCACCCAACCGAAGGTCCTCCAGCCCTGTCAGCCTTCCCACATGCACCATGCCAGCATTTGTCACACCGCTGCACTCAGAAAGAAATAGCACTCTGAGAGAGGAGAGGCTTGTCAAGTACGCCAGACCAGCATCAGTCACCTTGGTCCTCCAGAGATAGAGGGTTTTGAGGCTGATGAGATGCCCAATGCCTTCCAAGGCACTTTCTGACACATCTGTGCTTCTGAGATCTAGCGTCTCCAACAGTGGCAGCCTGTAGAGGTGCTTGATGCCCTCTGCACTGAAGCCTGAACTACCGCACAAGTTAATGCTCTTCAGATGCCTCATTGTGGACACATGGGCAAGCATAGCTTCTGAGAGCATGCTGAGATTCTTCAGGACCAGGTCAGTTCCGTGTGATGCTGACTTAATTCGCTGGAGGAGAAGGATGAAGAGGGAATGAATGACAAGAAAAGGAGACCATTGTTGTGACAAAGGAAAACACGTCTGCCACCATCCCTGCCCTGTGCCACCATGCCTGCCCTATGAAAGAGTTCAATCAGTACACACCTGCCATGCCGTCTTCTGATCGCCTTCACTCTCTCTGAATTGCAGGTCAACATACAACTTCACAAGAACATCCTTCTGTTCAGCCAGCTCCCCCTTCACTGCTGCCAGCTCTCTCTCCCTCTCCTCCATCTGCCCACTCATCTCCATCAAGTCTGCTGCTCTTCTCCTCTCTACCTCCTGCACCTCCCACCTCCTCTCCTCCCTCTCCCTTGCCAACTCCGCCCTCATTTCTTCCTCTCCCTTTCTTGCCTCCTCTCTCAATTCTCTCAAAATCGATTCTCTCCTTCTCTCAGCCACATCCCATTGCTCTCTCATAGCCTCCTTGTGTTCGGCCAGCTCCCCCTTCACTTCTGCCAGCTCTCTTTCCCTCTCCTCCACCTTCTCTCTCATCTCCCTTATCTCTACCACTTGTCGTCCCTCAGTCTCCTCCAGCTTCTCTTTCGCTGCTCCTAGCTCTCTCTCCCTCTCCTCCACCTGCCCTCTAAACTCCCTCCTTGTCTCTTCCAGCTGCACACCAAGCGCCCTCATTCTCATCCTAATCACCTCTTTCAACTTGTGCACTCCAGCGATATTTCCTATGACAGACACAACAACCTCACCCACTTTCTGCATCCCCGAACTGGCACACATGGCACGGCAACAGGCATGGCAGAGTATGAAAATGAGATGGCAAGTTCAGGAAGAGCAAATGCGAGTTGAACATTGGAAGAGTTCATGAACTTAAGTGAAAGCGAGGGTGAGGCATAAGGGAAATCGGTATTTATAGCGTAGGCATAAGGTGAACAAGTTTACACTGCCAGGGTTTCTTGTACATAAGGGCAATAAAGCGCGAAGGCGGTTTACACTGTTAGAGATCCACACACATAGCATTCGATAAGAGAGGTGAGGTGATCGTGACAAGGGAGGTGGGGACATGTTGATGACGAGACAGGGCATGCTCACATGGGGCTGTGCTGCAGAGGGACGCTTCCACGTGGCTGCAGCATGGCGAGGGTGAGGAAGATATGGAATGGAGTCGACAAGAAGATGAGAGATGGGAGATGGACGTGCAGCAGCAAGGGAAACATGAGTGAGCGCACAAAGGAGTCGAGGGAGTGAGTGCGAACGCGAGTGGGAGAAATGAGAGGCAAAGTTGGAGCAGTGGATGGTAATAGTAGTGAGTGAAAGAGAGTTATTCACATAGGCAGAGCTGCAGTGTTGGAGGGCAGAGCGCATGACTTTATGGCATACCACGAGGCACTTGCTTGCACTCGTCAGCTTCATCAGCCCAGCCGTCACAGCCAAACCCTGCCGATGCACCCACGCTCTGACTCGCGTGTGGGTCACGCCCATCCCCCACAGCAGTGCCATGAGAGTGGCGACGGCAGAATAAGCCATGAGCAGATGAGTTGCACCTGGAGACCGCAGATGTAAGAAAGGAGGTGCAAGAAAGCAGGCAACTGAGATAGTATATCCTGACAGAACAGTGGGTTGCTGCAGATTAGGGATTATTGGCCATCTCAACTCGTACCAGGGTATGGAGGGAGTGGAGATGCTGAAGCAAGACCGCATTTGCCTGTGCATGATCAAGAGGCACGCTTGTGACATGCTGACAAGTAACTGTGGCATTGGACTGAAAAGGAGCGACACATCCATGCATGCAAAGGGGGACACACATATGCACGTACACATGCCCAGACATGCACACATATAATGAAACACACACAGGCTCAGTGCGAAAACATTAAATGAGCATCCCGGCTTCATCCAACGGAGTAAAATAAAAAGAAGGTTGCAAAAAACAAGGTATGGAGGCAGAGGATTTGCTTACATGGTTACGAGACGCAGGAGGGGCCGTGAGAGGGTAATTGACTGTGTGGTTATCGGTTTCATGTGTAAGCTGCAGTAAGAACACACACGCATGCTCAGACTCAAGCCATGGCTGACTTGCAAGGGTTTAATCTGGCCAACATCCCAACCTTGCCAGAGCGGTCAAACTTGCCATGATAGTGACTCACGTCCTGTGTGCTGGTGGCATGCCAGGCATCCCTTGCGAGCGGCGTGATGCTATTCACTGAGATGGCAGTGCCGATAACAATGCCGGCCAGCAGCCCTGGCAGCAGCATGGCCACTGCAGTCATCCGAGCCATGGCTGACGAGGCGAGGATGGGGAGGAGCAACAACAGCAGAGGAGGGAGGGGAGATGTAGCAGCAGTAGTGGAAGGAGGGGTAGGCAGCAACAAGATGGAATAAGGGGCAAGCGAATGGACATAGAGTATCCGAGTTCTCTGCCTCGAAATGGTATAGATGGAGCGTATCGACAGATGGAGATGGACTGGCTACGGCAAGTAAAGGATCACGTGAAAGACCAAGAAAACAAGGTTGTTGAACTGATAAAGCATCATAGGGTAAGTTGGGTGGAGAGAGGCAAGACCTCTTGAAATATGATGATGATGCATTCTGAGCCTTGTGAGAGGCGGATGGAGCTATGCACGACACTAAAGCGCCAGCACGAAAAGAATATTGGATATTCTGAACGAAAGACTCCTACCTCACGTGAGATCGAGTGCAGAATGATGGATATTGAGGGCATTGCCTTTTCGACGCTTGTTGGGAGTATTGTTGAATATGTCTGATAGGAAACGTTGCACATACGGTTCAACAATACACATTTCGACGCTTGTTGGGAGTATTGTTGAATCTGTATAGAGAAATTCACTATACAGATAGAAAACATTGCACATACGGTTCATCCTGGCCTTTTAATCCAATATGTAAAGTATCGCCCAGTCAACCTGCGAGGAGCCCATCTACAGCACAGATATCTCGCCCGTGGGCCCTGGCAGGGACAGATCGTTCAACGGTCGGGTGTGTCCAGGTGCACACAGGGTGGGGGAATTTGGAGGTTGCAGGCGAATCATGCTGGGTAACCAGTCAAAAGTGCATGCTGCGCCAGCTGGCACAGCCCTGGTGTAGTTGGGTCAGGTGGTCCCAGCTGAGCTGGGGCCCGGGCTGTGTCAGCTGTCGACCGAGCCACGTGCGATCTTGGCTTGGCCCCCAACTGCGCCCAAGGATTAGCCGCCCGATTTCGCAGCAGTTGGAGTGGCTGAGTGCCCAGCCCTTGGTTCGTCGTTTTGCTGGCGTGTCCCGCGTGAGGACAAAGTAACCCTCGCCCATTACACATGATGCTCACCCATTGCACGCGACATTGCCCTGCACAAATTGGAAACCCTGCACCCATGGGTTTTTTGCCCTGATGATGCACCCACGGTACAGACCCCGTGGACCATCTGCCCTAGTTGCTTCGATACAACCAACAAAGAACTCAGCCGACAAAACAAAGGGACAGTTATCGTTCAGGTTAGGGACTCGAGCTCTCAATGATCCACGTGTCTCACTTTTCACATAGAGTTCACTGTAGGTTTGATCACACATTCTCTACTGCTCTGGCTTGTCGTTTCGACCCAAATCGCGGAAGAGTCGTTTGGCTAGCCCATTTGCACTAGCGCCGCTAAACAACGCTACCGGGAACAATAAGGGCAGGGCATAAAAAAACAAACCCCTAGGGAACCTTAACTCATTTTTGGGAGGATCGACCCTAAACACGGGAAAGGGCATTGATTTTAAGGCTGATGCCTCCCCAAGTCGAATCCCTTTCCGAGTGGGTTTTAGTTTTTCGGGGTCAGGGGATGCAAAATATATTCCCACATTTTCTCAGGGTTTTGGGTGCAATATACAGGTTTGTGAACAGCTGGCTGATGAGCCACCCAGAACGTGGGCTGGATTCGGTAAAAAAGACAAGCAAACCCAGTGCAGAATCTTTGATTGTGATGTACAGTGAGCAAACTGCGTAGGATGTAACACGTGGCTAATTGAGAGCTCGAGTCCCTAAGCTGAACAATAACTGTCCCCCCCTAGCCCAGAATTTTGCGGAAACCATGCGCAGAAAGCGCTAACCGTTCCCTGAAAGCGGGGGGGTCCAGGTACCTCTCCCTGCTAAGCTGAAAACCCCAAAACAAACCTTGCACACCATGTGTTGCCCTGTTTCAAGGCAAGAAACAACAAGGACGAAGTGGGTGTATGAAATCCGCCTACAGAGGTTTCCACATTCGTGCACCTAGCTCTGACATGTAAGCGGTTTCAAGGTGCGCCAAACAGACCCAAGGCAAAGCCATTACGCCACCTGTACATTGCCACCGCCCGATACACACACTTTCTCGTCCTCACGATGTGCAGCTTTCACACGTCACATCGCTTGGTGGTTACCTAGTAGCACATGGTCTAAAACCAGTTCCAGATGCAAGTGCTCAAATGCATGTTGAGTCACAACATTGTCAATGTGCGCTCCCGCTCACGCCGCAGAAACACGATCCAGATTTAGAATAAGAAGCCCTGCATTTCCTCCCGTAACTCAAGTTCACTTTACTCAGCGCTTACCACTATGCCGCGCCTTTACCACCGTACGCAACACCGCCTGCCCATCAAGAGGGCAATCTGCGAGCACCACGTCGCTAACCCTTTGCTCCGCCATGTCGACCTTGCTCGCTGGTGCTTCACCCGGTTCGGGATTCGTCCCGACCGTAGCACCATTGGTCGCGTAATCAAAGGCGCCGATCGTTAGGTGCGCACCGATGCCGCCGCCGACAACATCCGCGTCCGCGGCGGAGATTACACGGTGCTTGAGCGCGCCATGGCCCGGTCGACACGACCCGACCCGACCCGAAATTTAACATCAGGTCGGGTTTTTGCCCGAGCCGGACAGACTCGGCCCGGCTGGGCCAGGACATTAGAAGTCCTGAGCCGACCTGCCAAATACCTGGGTTGGTTCGGGGCCTTTCGCTCATGCCTAGCCAAAATCGGGCCGGCGATGGCCCAGCGGACCACGATTGCCCGGCATGCCCTGGGCCGACAGCCCAATTTAGAGGTTCGGCCCGGCGCAGTTTCGGGGCAGGGTCGACCCGGCAGGGCCCAGCCCGCCCCCGTGCTCAACCCTACTGTACAGCACCACACTTACTTATCATAGAATACAGGGGTGTATAATTAATCAGAACCACATCTACTGAGGTTTCAGTTCAAAGGTTGGTGGCTCTGCTAGATGTTGGGAAAATTCTGGCTGCCTTTCGCTTGCCTAGTCTGCTTTTCAGGGTAAGAGGAGGTGATGTAGCAGTCATGGCACGAAGAGAACGAGTTGTTAGCCTTCAGCAGAGTCGAGCTTCTGTGCCAAAAGGGTAGACGTATGCGCAGACATTTATCGAAGTGAGTTGTACACGGAAGGAGGTAAAACCAGTTAGGAAGGATGTCATGGAAACTGTTCTTTCTCCTAACCATTTTCACCCTACGAAAGTTTCCACTAAAAACTCTCGTAGGTAGGTTCACCATAACTTGGCAGAACCATCATTCTTCTCGGGACAAGCTATTCTTGTGACAAGGCCATCGTACGATGATGTTCACCGCCTGCTCATCACGGGCTGGTCGTATTGACGTAGGCTAATGCTCGTGCTCATCTCTGCATATGCGCATCTCTCCATGCTCCCAGTCATGTGTGCATGCTCCCACTCATACTCACAGATTGGTCAGCCTGTTCAAGGCACTGATGGAATCTGGAATGGATCCGTTTAATAGTTTGAAGCTTATCGAACTGGTGGGCAGTGGAATGAAATGGGTGGGGAAAATGATAATTTTGTTATGGAACGGGATCAAGAGTGTAACAAAATGAGAGATATGTGAATCCATCAACGTGGTTTCGGTACTATTGGAGAAGGAGAGGCCCATGCAACCCACAAGTTGTCCACCTGCACCTGCACGCATGGAGATGATAGATATCTGTGAAGGTGCATTTGGGTAGCATTCTACTGCACTGAACTCCTTTCAATATGAACCACGCAACAGAAAACAGAGGGAAACGGAGAATGGAAGGGGGATGATAAGGTAGGTTAGACAACATTCTCACCTAGTACTGCCTCCAAATGTCTACCTTTCGTCACTGTGTTTTCAAAGGGACGATTTGGTTCTGCGGTGACATTTCGCCGCATTTCTGTGTGAAATTCGTCCCCATGGCATGTAGCAAACCCTATAGCAGACCCCCAACACACTCATTGCAAACCTTTCCACACCTCTCATATGCACCACCACAACCTCCCTCCTTCCACTCACCCATTTTCTCTACTTCTTTGTTGACATTGTGCACAGACCAGATGCATCTACAACAGTTGCCATTCCCTTTGGCATGCCAACTAGTTTTCTGACTTGGGCATGATAGAACTACTAGAACCGGGCCTGTCCTGCTCTCTCTGCCCCTCTATAAAACCCCTGATTCACCTTCGATAAAACTTGGAAGATGTTCCTCAATCATGTTTAAAGTTAGATTCTAACCGTAACAAAACTTTGAACATGACTTTAACATGGAATGATTCCAAAGGGTCCACGAAAGTAGACAGTGGGTTTAGGGTTGAAACCAAAATGGGAGGGGTGGAAGGGGAGTGAGTCGGAGGAAGGGACGTGGAGGGGGTGGGGTGGAAAGGAGGCGCTGAGGAATGGGAGGGAGGAAGGGAATGCAACAGGAAGGAGGAGAGAGGGTGGAAAGGGAGGGAGGATAGGGGGCAGAGCGAGAGGGGGGAGAGGGAAGGAGTGGGAGCAAGGAATGGATGGGAATGAGGGAGGAGCAGGTGAGAGAAGGAGAGGAAGGAAGGGAGGTAGGGGTGTAGGAGTGGGAGGGGTAGAAGGAGAGGCGTGGTGGGGGATTAGGCGGTAGTGGTGACAGGCCTTTTAAGTAGTGGTAATGCCTGTTCTCGAAGTGCTCACCTGCTTGTCTGTAAATTACTTCTCATTAACACAACATACCGTCACTTGGCCGAATTGCTCCACTGTACCTTTTTAAAGTAATAACTGAGTTTGGTTCACGTTCACACGTCCTCACCATCGGCCCTCATGCTGCTTCATTGGCACCTGTGGTGCTCCCCGTGGTCCTGCAGCAGCAGAAGCGACCCTCCTTCCCTGCTGCCAGGCACGCAACCTGTCCTTCCTTGGCACTGGCACTTCTCCCTCCTTGGCCTTTGTGGTGAGAACTGCCCTTTAGTGTTGGTCGACTAGCTTGTCACAGACCCCAAGACTGTCAAACATTATATGTTTGTGTGGTTCTAGGCTGTAGTGG